CCTGGACACATTTTGGGAGTCTCTTCTAATGTTTCATTAGAATTTCATGATTCCTTTGAGTTCTTATAGTTCAGTCATTTTAATATGTCTTAAAATCGCTATGCCTTTGAATAGGAAAAATATGCACTGAGAAGGTATAAAATAATTGACTCACATTAATGCTGAAGAAGACAACAGAACAGAAACCAAACCCATTGTTGTTGATTTCAACTCTAAAGGTCCCATGTGGTACAGAGTAACTTAGAGTTTTCTTGGCTGTAATCTTTATGATCACCAAATCGTTTTCTCGTAATGCGGCTGCGTGGATTCAAACCATCAGTCTTTAGGTTAGTCTAGCATAGTAGTTAATCCTGTGAAACAGTCAATATTGCTGGTTTTGGGTTCTGTTGAATTGATCCCAACTCATCATGACCACATATGACAGAGCAAAATTCCCCCATAGGCTTTTCTTGGCTGTAATGTTTCCTGAAAGGAGCTCTGGTAGCATAGTGGTTACAAATCAGGCTGCTAACCTCAAGGTCGGCAGTTCGAAACTACCAGCTGTTCCATGAGAGAAAGATGAGGCTTTCTGCTTCCATAAAGATTTACAGCCTCGGAATCCCTGTTCAAGGTCACTATGAGTCAGAACTGACTCCATGGTACTTAACAACAACAACAATGTTTACTGAAGACTTCTGGTGTGGCGCTGTAGGGTCAGCACTAGACTTCAAGCCACAAGGTCGGCAGTTCAAATCCACCAGCTGCTCCTTGGAAACCCTATACAGGGTCGCTATGGGTCGGAATCAACTCGATGGCACTTGGCAACAACAACAACAACAAATGTTTACTGAAGCAGATCAGCAGGACTTTCTCCCTTAGTAGCCGAGTGTTTAACTGATGCACTAAAAGGGCCCCTTGAAAACAGTTACTACTGCAATTATGAACTTAATTCATGAACTTAATTATATTAATTAAATATGATCTCATGTAGGAAGCCTGATCAAACTTGCTCAAAACATACCTAAGCTGTTCTGTACATGAGTAAAAACGGTTGTCATGGTGGCAACTCCAACTCAGGTGACTGACCCCATGTGTGTCAAAGTAAGACTATGTCTGTAGGGTTTCTGGAAGTAGATCACCAGGACTTTCTTCCAAGGTGCCTCGGGGTAGACTTGAATCTCCAGCTTTCAGGTTTCATCTGTCTCCAGCTTTCATCTGTCAATTTAAGTGACAGATGGTGGAGCATCGCTAAAAAGAATCCAGAAAGCCTGGGATCAAATACAAACCGTGTTGCTATAGACTGTGGGCTCTTGAATAAGACTCAAAATCTCTCTGTGCCTCTGTTTCCTCATGTCAGACAATAGTAGGACCTATCTCACAATATTGCTGCAGAAAAAATACACCAGAAGAGTTTAGAATGTACCCTAGGACACAGGGTGTTGTTAAATTGGTTCTGACTCATAGCCACCTTGTATAGGGTTTTTGAGGCTGTAAATCTTTGAGGGAGCAGAAAGCATCATCTTTCTCTCATGGAGTGGCTGGTGAATTCGAACTGCCAACTTTGTGGTTCGCAGTCCAGTGCTTATCATACAGAATCACCGCACTCCCAGTACACAGTTAGTACTTAATATATATTCGCTGTGGAATCCTGGTGTGGTACTGTGGGAATCTATAACCCTTAACAACAACAACAACATATATTCACTGTAATTATTATCAGGGGTTGGGAAAAATTTGTCTGCAGCTCCAGTTTCCAACAGTAAACTAGCAATACTGCTATAATTGAAGAAATACACAGCATCACTGTACCACAAAGAATTGGTTGATGTTCAACCACTTTAAGAGGTAGCAATTTAAGCTCTGGTAACGTAGTGGTTAAGAATCGGGCTGCAAACCATAAGATCAGCAGTTCGAAACTATCAGCTGCTCCGCAGGAGAAAGATGAGGCTTTCTGCTCCTGTAAAGATTTACAGCCTCAGAAACCCTGTTCAGGGTCGTTATGGGTCGGAACCGACTCGATGGCACACAACAAAAATATGATCAAGAGCTGATGGTACTGAAGGAAGAAGTCCAAGCCACACTGAAGGCATTGGTGAAAAACAAGGTTCCAAAAATTGATGGAATACTAATTTAAATGTTTCAACAAACTGATGCAGCAATGGAGGTGCATACTCATCAGTACCAAGAAACTAGCAAGACAGCTACATGGTCAATTAATTGGAAGACATCCATATTTGTGCCCATTCCAAAGAAAGGTGATTCAGTGTAATTGGAAATCACTGAACAATATCATTAATATCACATACAAGTAAACTTTTGCTGAAGATAATTCAAAAGTGGTTGCAGCAGTACATTGACAAGGAGCTTCCAGTATTTCAAGCTGGATTCAGAAAAGGACATGGAATGAGATATATCACTGCTGACATTAGATGGATCTTGGCTAAAAGCAGAGAATACCAAAAAGATATTTGCTTGTGTTATGTTGACTATGAAAAAGTATTAGAGTGTGTGGATCATAACAAACTATGGATAACCTTGAGAAGAATTGGAATTCCAGATCACCTAATTGTGCTTGTGAGAACATTTTTTAGATCACCTAATAGTGCTTATGAGAAATCTATACGTAAACCAAGAGGCAGTTATTAGAACAGAACAAAGGGATAAAATAGGTTGAAATCAGAAAAGATGTACATCAAGTTTGTATTCTTTCACCATATTTATTCAATCTATATGCTGACAAATAATCCCAGTAGCCAGATTATATGAAGAAGAATGTGGCATCAAGATTGGAGGAAGACCGCTGAGTAGTATCCAATCTGTCTGGGCGGGGCTCATGAAAGGTGATGGGGATAGGTCTCTTGTGATACAATAGTGAATAATTGTTACCAGGACTGATTGTGAGAGTTGGAAATGTAAAGGTAGACATTTTGTAGCAAAAGGAAGGG